GGCGTGCAGCCGGCCAGGCAGGAGCAGGGCTGCAGTGAGACGGGAGCCGGGCAGCCAGGCAAGCCTCCTGCCCTAGCTCCAGGTCCCTTCTCCTTCCCACTGCGCTCGTAGGGAGGCCGAGCAGCCAGGCTCGCCCGCGGTCCAGGAGCCCGGCGTCTGGCGCGGCCGAAACCCTGCTCCGAGACCAGCTGCTTCTGCACAAAGCGGCATTCAGCGCGCTGTTGTTCCTCTCTCAGAGGAGATGGTCGAGCAGCTTTCTCTCCATCTTCCCCCCTGGCTTGACCTCCGAGCCAGCGGCCTGCGCCCTTCTCCCTTGGCAGGAGTGTGCGCACACTGCTCCAGGGGCTGGCAGGACAAGGTCTGGCTATGCCAGCCCGCCACTTACCTGTGTCCAGCTTCTCTCTTCACCCTTCTGCTGTGTTGCCCCAAGGGGGAGGAAGCAGGTATAAAACGTCTGTTGTACAGAACCACAGGTCCCTTGCCCTACGCCCCTTTACTGATTGTAGGTAACTAATAAGCATCCTACCCTTTTATTGCAGGAAGAGAAACTGATAGATGGACCCTAATAGGTTCTTCTATTCAACCTCTGGTTCTTTAGCCAAACAGCCTCTGGGGAAAATAGTCCTCTCCCAGCCTGTCTCTACTAAAAGATCTGTTTCAGTGTTGTGGTGTTCTCTGTGCAAAATCACTTTTGTGGATGGAAAGATTGTGGTAATGCTTCCCCCTCTAATACCTTCCAGGTAGCAAGAACAGTGTCAGCCGTCTTGAATAGCAGTGCCAAACATTATTTAAACAGATTTGTATTCCAGAGTGTAAGAAGATTGTAGGATGAGGAGTGACAGCTTGAAACTAAAAGGTTAAAATAACCTTGGAAAGGGCTTGATGGCATAAACCCTATGTAAGAGGCCCCAGGAGCTCTGTCTGCAGGGGTTTGACCCATCTAGTACTTGGCCATGCTAGCGCCCAGAAACAGAATACAAGGGTATGCTGCAGATCAGGGTTTGGGGGAGTTGAGTAGAGCTGTGTTCAGACATCCCCATGTTTTCCTGCATTTGCATGTAGAGCTTGTCAGTGGGATCACTCCCTGGGATTTTGTGTGTCCCCTAGTGTAGTTCATACTGTAGGTAGAAGAGATAAATTGGCCACTGAAGGCCCACCCAGTGTCCTGCACATTTAGAAGCTCTATGAACCAAGGCATCCTTTAGTCATAAAATAAATCTGGATGGGGATCTGCTGAATATTTCTCAGATCTGGCAAGGTTCAGTACATTTAGCAATGCTTGTTTTGCAGAACAAAGTAGCAGGTTATGAGGCATATGACGCCACCCCTGTGCAATCACAGCTTAGTGGTATTGAAGGATGTGACCCTTTTGTATAAAACAGCAGGTAGTAGCAGTGTGGAGATGTGGCCTACTTACCAACTGCTTAATCTTTAAGGTTAACTTTCCTACTACCACAGTTTTTCTCGTGATTTCTTTCCCTGAATGTGCCGCCTCCTCCCTCGGCTAGCTAGTAAGTTGTCTGCAGACTAGGCAAACCTTTTTCTTAAGGCAGATTTGTGAAGGATAACCTGAGTGGTTGATGAGAAAATACAGTGACTGTGCTTCTTGTGGCTAAAGACTGTTATGAAGCTGCCTCCTTTCTTCCAAGGCAAAAATACTGGTCTAATCTGTAGCTAAACCTCTTTAGTACATCAACTGACAGTCATGTCTAATTAAAGGCTGAGAATGAAAACTGCTCTCCCACCTCTTATGGATGCCACTGACCTGCCAATGACAGGAGGAGCCTGCATGTGTTTAACTCTTTGGGAGCACTGGGAGGTTCCACCATAGGATGAGTGTAGCCAAGCAATAAGAAAACTGTTCATTGCTTCTGACTAGTATTTAGAAGAAAACTTGAGCGGTCTTTCTTTCTTTTTTTCCATTTGTACCTTCAGTTCAGACACGTACATGTCAGAGTAGCCAGGATCTTCAAATGTGGGTTAGCAGCCTGGCTGGCCGTAGTACGTTTGTCTTCCTTCTTGTTGTTCCAGGTGTCCAGATAATGGTCTGCTAATGCTTGAACCAAGTCGCAACAATACGCACGCATGTGTATGTGTGTATGTGAGTACTGTTATGGTTGTGTAAAATCAGGGTTCTGCCTCCACAAAGTAGAGAGGTGATTAGCCTCAGGAAGAAGGTGGGGGGAGGGGGGAAGTGAACCTTAGAGACTAGATGGTTCAGAGAGGTATAATCTTTTGTAGATGACAGCTTGTGTTATCAGATGCCACCCTGCCTTCTACCATAGCAAGTAGGTCATGTATCAGCATCCTTAGCTAACACTGGTTGGTTATTGTTTCCTCTATGGTCCTATTGGGTCCTGTTACAACTAGAGGTACACCAATACACTGGTCCAATATTGGATCAGCACCCCAAATGCAGCCTGGCCCCTGCCAGGAAGAGCCTGGTGCAGCCCTGGCCCCAGCCCACAGTGGCAGCCCACCCTGCCCTATGCAGATCCAGGGGTACATGCCCTTCATGCCCTCCAGAGGTTTGCGCAGCAGCAGGAGCTGCCCTCTGGATGAGCCGTTGCTCCATCCTACACCCTGCCCCAGCTGGGCAGCACCTGCTCCAGCCCCTGCCCCAGCCCTACTCCCTCCCTCACCTCAGGGGCCTCAATCTGCCTCCCCCCCCCCCCCCCTTCCCTTCCCCATCCCCTTCCACCACAACAGACTTACCAGCCAGACACTACTCTTCAAGCTGCTGGGCTGCGTATTGGAAATCAAATCGGTATCAGCCAATATGCCTCCTTAAAAATCAGCTATTGGTATTGGCCCCCAAAATCTCTTATTGGTGCACACCTAATTACAACATAGTTTGAATAAGTAGGCAGCATAGCTATTCAGCAGGTATAAATTTAGTGTAGCCTTTACTGATGCTATCAGCCAGGTGATCGGGCTGGCTGACAGCAGAGATAGCACAGGGTTAAACCCAGATCCAAAGCATGTTTCTGTTCTGCTCTATTTGTGTATTAGAAGCACTTGCATCAAGCCTGCATCATTGTCTACACATGATCAATCGCATTTGGTGCCATGCCGCTTAGTTTGCTGATTAGTGAACATACTTAATATTGTAACATTCCTACATATCTTCCCAGGTATGTGTGCGCCATTGATTATATTGCTCTACATGCTTTTCTTATCTTAGATGGAACCAGTACAACCTGCCAGGATGTTCCCGATCAGATTCCAAATATTCTGATACTTTCCACAGAACGTTAGTCTCTCGGGTTTTAACTCTTACTGCTCTTGGCATACCTCAGTGAAGTCCCTTTAATCTCTAACCTTGTTCCCCATCTGTGGCAGGAGGGAGGGAATAGTACTTAATTCCCTGCCATTGGTCTCTCTTCCTCACCACAGGTTGGAAGAGAGCCTAGTATAGGAAGAGGGCCTAGCTGAGACTTTGTAATGCTGCTGATATGAATTAATGTGCAGCTGTGGGAGGGTGGGATACTTCAGACCTGCTCTTAATATGAGCTGGCAATTGATTCTGTTGTGTTACCATAAACTTGGGACTATTCAGTTTTAGAGTGACAAGGCTATAGCCCATCTATAATTAGGCTCTTTTGCAGGCTTAGGTACAGAATTAAGGTCCAGTAACAAA